CCCTACACCAGGAGGCTCGGAGCCTGACTATATCTCCTGGTCCACTATGTGACCTTGACAGTGGCAAGTCCAGTGTGCCCAGGCTCAGGTGGTTCATAAAGCTCTGACCACTAGAATCTGGAGGTTCCCAAGAGCACCCCCATCAAGGACCCAGGGTTCTCACCCCCCCCCCGCCCCCTGCTGTGGCCTGAGCAGCGTCTCAGGGTGGCTTGAGCAGTGCTTGACTCCAAGGCCAGGCACCTTTCTTCCCAAGACACAGTCTTTACGACTTAACTCGCTTTCACTAGGTAGAAATTCTGACAGCTGAATTTTCTGTGTGCCATCAAGACTTTTTCTCTCTGAAAGAACAGAGTTGAGCTATCAGAAAAGCCCCCAGACTTCTTTCTTATATGGAAAAAAAAAATTAAATGAGTTTAAACAACTTTACAAAAAACACCCTGTGTTTCCAGCCCCTGGCGTCAGCCCGTTCAGTGGATGGACACAGGGACAGTTACTATCTTCTTTTCTTTACTTATTTAACATTATTTTCTAATTAGTCGAATGTCTTAATTAATGAATGTTGGATTATTTCCAGTTCTGTCACCTCGGCCAATCACTAGGCCTATTATGGACTAAACGTTTGTGCACCCTGCTCCCCTCCCCAATTTGTATATTGAAGCCATAACTCCTAGTGTGTGTGTTGGGGGGGGCGGGGGGCCTTTGGGAGCTGATTAGATTAGATCATGAGGCTGGAGCCCCTGGGGTGGGGTGGGGGACCCCATCAGAACATGAAGAGACACCAGAGCCCCCCGCCTTCTCTGGCACGTGAGGACACAGTAAGAGGGTGGCGTCTGCGCCATAAGAGTCCTCGCTAAAGATCCAATCTGCTGACACCTTGATCTTGGATTTTCCAGCCTTCACTGATGTGAGAAAGAGGTGTCTGTCGTGTAAGCCACCAGACTAAGGTACTGTGATATATCAGCCCAGGTTGACCAAAGAAAGAACCCAAAGTGATAAGAACAAACTGCCAGATACCTACTTGGCCCTACTACCTGGGTTCGTAAGAACAAGATGAGACCGCACTAGTATCACGGAGGCCAGGAGGGACTGTGGAGAAGGGCCTACCTGCCCTGCCCACTCTGGGAGGGACAGAGAGCAAAGTGGCCAAAGCTCAGCTAGGAAAGGAGACACTGGACCTAACTTCAGAGGAGCAAACCAGGCAGAGCCAGAGGAACAGGACAGACAGGGGGAGGCCGTGCAGCTACCAGGCCACCACGGCTGCAGTGTCCAAACAGCAGAGCCCTTCCTGGGGAATGCCCACTGGGCTGTTTTTCCAATATCATATTTATATTTTGAAAAATTCCAAACTTTCAGAAAAGTTGAAAGAACAATACAGTAATGAACACCATACACCCTCCACCTCGAAACACCAATTCTGCCATCTTTCTCTCTGTCTCCGTACACACCCACGTTTTATGTAACTATTTGAATCATGACAGTCAGGATTGGAGACATAAGCCACGGTACCTGGCTTCTACTCTGTGTTTGAGCAGAGCTAGAACCTATATGCCAAGAGGTCTGAGCTCTGGCACAGACAAAGCATGTGTTGCTATTGCCAGGAATGTCCCTTGACCCCTTGCGCATGATGCTGATGGGGAACCCTAGGACACAGAGAGAGCCCTGCTGGAAGCCCTACTTCCATTAAGTAAGAGGCCCTCCCGGGATTCTTTTTCTTTTTTTTTTTTTAAACATTTATTTTTTAGGTGTAGATGGACACTACACAATGCCTTTATTTTTATATGTGGTGCTGAGGATCGAACCCAGGTCCCGCCCGTGCTAGGCGGGTGCTAGGGGGAATGCTCTACCGCTGAACCACAATCCCAGTCCCCCCTCCCGGTAATTCTAAAACCCCAACCTACGTGGAAGCACCAAAACCCTGCTTCTCTCGGGCCTGAGGAGGGACCAGCTCTTGTCCTTGATGTGGTTGGTTCACAGTCCTTTGTGAAAGCCGTGCTCCTGTCATGTGTCCTACACTCCCTACTCCACGCTAACCTCTAGAAGAGAAATGCGATGGCTCCAATAATGTGATTCCACCCTCTCCTGGGACTCCTGCCCTGGCTGCTCTGTAGAGGGGAAGGGAAGAGAGGGGAAGGGAGAGGCCCTCCCTGCGGCTGGTCTGGGCTGCACTGATCCCATCTCCAGTTCTTCATTTCATGCTCAGGGCCTCAGCCCATAAATGGTCCCTTCCTGCCACTTGGTCCTGTGGAGGGTGCCCAGCCCCGGGGGGTGCTGTCGGGAGTGATCTGCAGCAGCAGCTGAAGGCTGGCTGCTACCCCTGGGCTCCAGAGCCTTCTCGGTAATCAGCTTTGTGAGTCAGAGGCAGCAGCTGCCCCAGACTGCCCAGGCCTTGCTGGGAAAGAAGAGGATTGGATTAGAAGGGAAGCAGTTAATAGAAAATGAAGAGGGAGGGAGGGAGAGAGGGAGGGAGGGAGCCCATGAGCAGGGCTTAGCTTGCCTCTCCCTCCCTTCCTGGGCAGTGACTTCTGGGCTAACAGCAGGTGGGGTGCCCTTGCCCCTCCAGCCCTTCTCTCTGGGTTCACTTAGGGAGCCCAAAGGAGGCTGCCCCTGTCCCCTGCCCCTTGTGTTATTTTCCCAAGGGGCCTTCTTCCCAACTGTCCCCTAAGCTCCTCCTCATCAGAACAGAAAACCTCTGGAAATGTCCAAGTCAATTTCGAGACAATTTCTAAGCAGCTGCTTCAGTTCATTCCACTCGTGGGAAGGGTGGGGAGGACACACAGGTGTGGGCCAGCCCTGATCCAGGACCTCGGGCGGGAGGGGAGCTGGTCAGCTCAGAAAGGGCTGGGGCCCTGAATCCAAAGGGGACCAGACCTGTCAGTAAGGAAGATGACTTAGGGAACTCTCCACAAGGTGGATTTCCTCAGGGCAGCCGGCATCGGGTCTCCTCACACTGTACACTGTCCTTCAAGACACACAGTGGACCTTAGAGAATATGCATCCACCCAGGTGGGGGCAAATTATATGAGGACCCCTATTTTTATTTCCTTTTTGTTTTTTTTAATGGCACTGGAGCCTAAACCCAAGGGCATCCTACCACAGAGCTACAACCTCTCCCCTTTTTATTTATTTTGAGACAGGGTCTCACTAGGTTGTTGAGGCTTCCCTTGAACTTGTGATCCTCCTGCCTCAGCCTGGGATCACAGGCCTGCACCATGCACCACCTCACCCAGCTGAGGGCCCCTATTTCCACAACACTATTGAATCCACCATGTTACATATCATATGTGCTGACAGCCCCAAAGCCCTGTGGAAAGTTAAAGAAGTGCTGTATCCCAGAGGACAGGAAATGACTGTGTGCCATCAAAGGACATTGGCATTCAGTCTAGAACCTACTGCTGGGTGATAAAGGATCAATTCATAAGTAGGGCTGATAGAGAGCCAGTGATGTCCTGAGAATAGTCCCATGAGACCACGAGTGAGGCAGGAGTCCCAAACATGGGAACAAATATAACACATACAGCGGGCATGTCTAAGCCCCACCTGCCATTAACTGGGTAAGGTACCGAGCCTCCCCCTGCAAGAGCATCATGGCCTCTGATTAGCTCCGACATACTCCACCTTCCCCAGGGCTGGTTAGAAGCCACTCCAATGACACAATTAGTCATCCACTTGTCAAGCAAAGCGCCTGCTCAGAGGGGGTCTGGAGAGCTAGAGAAAAACGCCTGAGGGCAGTCTCTGCTTCCTCCTCTCCCCTCTGCTTCTCTCCAGTGTAAACCACTGTGTCCAGCAAAGGACAGAGTGGGCATCGCAGATCTGCTGACAAGGCACTAGAACAGCCGGCTGATGGTTTCCACTGCCGGGCTGTGTCCTCTCCTCCAAAGCAAGGAGCTCAGGAATAAGAAGAAAGTGTTACAATTAGACTTAGGGGTGGGGGACTGGCCTGGTGGCCCAAGCCCATCTGAGGCTGAGAATTCCCAGGTTGAGCAACCACGAGGATAAGGAGAGACCCTATCATCTCAAAATAAAAAGTAAAAAGGCTGGGGCTACAGCTCAGGTACAGCACCTCTGGGTTCTCTCCCCAGTACTGGGAAACAACAAAACCCAGTGGTGGGCCAGTGGTGGAGGCCCGAGCCAGCCCAGGACAGTGAAATCCTGATAACAAGGGCAAGTAGGTTTCCAGCCTGAAGAGGTGCATCTGAGAGAGAACCGGGCTGGCTGGGGAGGCGGATGAAGTTAGCCTGGGGTAAGACAGTGTGGTCAGGCAGAGCTGGTGGCCAACACTAGCCAGGGCCTGTGGCAGGGACGCTGAAGCATATTTGGGGAACCCCCAGGAGGCAGCTTTCACACCACACAAGCCAGACTTGTCTGCGCCCTGGGAAGTGGGGTAGGGGATGTGCCAAAGCCCACAAGCAGTTTGAAAATGACAATAAAATAGTGATCAGTGTCTTTCTTTCCGTCCCCTCCATGGGCCTCACACAAGGCCACAGTGATTCTGGAATCTGGATTTCAAGTGGGCCTAAAAAGAGGCAGCTTTTCTCTTCACCCTCCAAAAGTACTAAATTGTCAACATCCCAACTTCTACTGCCCGCCTTGAAATAAGCCGCGTGCACGTGGATGCGGGAACAGGGGGCGAGGGGGCAGGAGGACGGCGGGCAGCGAAATTCCAAGCGCCGTAGGAGGCCTGGGAGCGCCGCCGCGCGGAGCCTGGGCCGGTGCCGGGGCGGCTCCCGGCTGGCAGGGGCGGAGGTCGGGAAGAGAACGGGCACACCAACTCCAGCCGGCCGGCCACTCGGCGGCACTTCCAGGGGAGGATGGCGAGCCGAGGACTTGGCACGCCGGGACCCTCGTTTCCTGCCGGCCGCCGGCTCTGCCCCTCCCGGGGCGACCCGCCTGGGGCCTCGCGGCCCCGCTTCCCCGGCTCTGCGGGTCGACAGGGCCGGCCGAGCGGCCGAGGGTCCCGGGTCCCTGGGTGGGAGGGCGCCGCGGGCGCGCCCGGTGCGTACCTGCCTCGCCTCCGCCGCCTGCTCCTCGGCCTCGGCCGGCGCTGCTACGGGCTCCCCGGGCTCCGTGGGCTCCCCCGGGCCCTCGGGCAGTCCCAGTCCCCCGGGAGCGGCCGCCGGTTCAGGAACGCGGGGACTTGCCGGCACCGGGGACGCGGGCTCCGGGGGCGCGCCGGCGGGACCCGGGCTCGCGGCCGCCCCGCGCCGCACCAGCAGCCAGGCGAGCAGCAGCGCCAGCGCAGTGGCCAGCGCGGGCAGCGCGGCCAGCAGCTCGGCCGGCGCCTCCATCGCGCCCCCGCCGCGGAGTGCCCGCCCGCAGAGACCCCGAGGGAGCCCGCCGCGCCCCGCCGCCGCGCCCCGCCCCAGGGCGGAGCCGTCGCCCACGCCCCGCCCCCGGCGCTGGGCCCCTAGGGGGCGACTCGGACACTGGGGGACTGGAGCCCGCACACTTGGGAGGCGCAGGAGGGCACACTCTCCGCCACCCCCAGCCTGGGCAGGCCCGACGCCTAGGAGCACAATCTAACTGTCCCGGCTCTGCAGTTGGCAAACCGGTGTGAACCGCTCCCTGCTCAGGTGCCCTTTGAATGTCACCCTCCTGCATCACAGCATCATTTCAGCCCTGTGCGGAAGTTCACCTGAGAGCACCCTGGAAACCGAGGTGCTTGCGGGGGGAAAGCTGGGAGGCAAGTGACGCTCACGGAAATCACCGACTGCCTCCTGAAACAAGCCAGCCAGCGGGCGCCGGGCTCCTGGCGCTGGCCACGTTTACAGGCGCGTCCACAGCGGCTTTTACTCCTGGGTATTGACTTAGTGTTTCCGCAGAGGACATCTCAGATCTAGGCCAGTGAATGCTCCCTTCCAGGCGGAAGCCAGCAGCCTCCACAGCCTCCCAGTGCGATGGCTGCCCCCCAGACTCTGGAATTCAGCTCCTGGGTCAACACCACTCCCCAACTGGCTTCCTCTTGGTGTATTTCCTGATGTTATGGGTGGAGAGGAGTGGATGGAATGAGGGAAAGGAAGGATACTGGGTTTTTTTGTTTGTTTGTTTTGTTTTTAAATTTCTCCTCCAAAACCTTTCAGGATAGGTTAGAAATAGTGACCAAAAACATTTTCCTCCCACTCCCCACCCCTTTAGTTATTTCAAATAAACACAGGCCAGCCCTCGGGTCAAAAAGCAGGGTTCCAATTAGGCACCAGGGCATATGCCTGCAGTTCCAGCACCCGAGTCAGGAGTTCGAGACCAACCTAGGAAACATAGTGAGAGCCTATTTAAAAAAAAAAAAAAATCTTAGGATTCATTTAATACTTGGATATAAACCAATATGCTAGAGTGCTTCTTTTTTTAACTTTTTGTGGTGATCAAACCCAGTGCCTCACACATGCCAGGCAAGCACTCAGTGTCAGTGTACACACCCAGCCCCAAGATTCTTTTTTTGTTGTTGTTCAGTACCAGGACATTGAACCCAGGGGCACTCTACTACTGAGGTACACCCCCAACCCTTTTTCCTTTTGGCCCAGGCTGGCCTAGACTGCAGTCCCGCCTTAGCCTTCCAAGTTGCTGGAGGGCATGGCCCCCATGCCAGGCTCAGGGTGTGTTTTTTTTTTTTTAAATACAGAAGACACAGGGACAATCTAAGGTTCCTCATGTGCTCCAGCTGTGACAGGAGGATCCCCAGCAATTAGGAGAGCTTATGCCTGTGGTGCACACAGTTTTGAAGGACATGCATGTCCTGTTTGTGCTGGTTAATGGACAGCCCAACACTGTAGTGAAGAATGGATTTGGGTAGGGTGCTGGCTTTTGAACACGGTGGGCCTTGTAGCCTGAGTGTCTGGGCCTTATTTTAGTCACCCTTTCCCATTGTTTTTAAAGTGTATTTTTAAGAGATCTGACAAACTACATTCTACTGACTTTCAAAGGAATAAGAATGAAAGAAAACAGATAAAACAAGCAAAACACACAAATCCAAATCCAGTTGCTTTATTTAAAATGATGAACAAATTTCATCCCAGTGAAAGTTAAAAATACCAATCCAATGGCAGACCCATAGGCATTCCATGGCAGGCCCACAGTGAGAGGGAGCAGAACCAGGGGTGGCTCAGGGTTCTGAAGCCCAGGGCTCAGGAGGCAGCCCAGTTCTTCTGTGGTATCCTGTCACCCGCCGGCCAGGGCCGGTTCTCCACCAGGGAGATTTGCAGGGGCTAGGATTCAAGGGTTTGAACTTACAGGAGACAAAGTTGAGAGCCACCACCTAGGGGCCCATTTCATCTAGTTTTGCTGAAAACATGATGTAACATCTTCACAAAAGACAGGAAGGGATGGGCAGGAGGAGCCAGACCATCACACATCAAAACCACTTCTCTGGGAAAGCTACACACAGCCTGAAGAACCCACAGCCCCACGCACCTGTTACTTCCCACACAGTACTTTTTACCACGGTGCAAGGTTCTGTTCCATCCCACACTCTGGTCCAAAGTCCTTGGCTCAAGGCCGAGACTAAGTTTATAAAGCACTTGCACCAGCACCTTCCCCTGCCGACCCTTAGTTTAGAAACCTTAAGCCACTTCACAGAGAAGCCGTGGGCAGACTCAGGTACGCTGGCATAACGCTAGCTAGTTAGCTAGCTGAGGTCCCTCACGAGGAGCTAACGAACCTGCATTCAGCGAGGCAGACACTTGCTTTTCTAGTTGTGTTAATGAGACAGGCTGGTGCTAATGAGACCCGCTGGGTCTCCCTGCCCTGAGGAGCCACCCTGGTGAACACACAGTCACTGTCCACTAAGGTCAGGGGCCTAGGCTTGTCCCAGCACCAGATCTGCTGAGCACTTGAATTACTGAAGAAGTGGGCAGCCATGTAGAACGAGATGTGAACAGTGCCCCAGCTTCAGCAGCCCTCCCTTCAAGGGCAGCACCATGAACATCCCAGGACCACTCTGGGGACCTGTGCAGCACTGGATTCTCCCATTCACGAAGACCCAAGGCCCTCAAGGTGTCTGTGCCCCCACTCCTGTTGCTCCTACCCAGCTCCTCCCTATCAGGTGGTCACTGGTGTGAAATTCCTTCTCCTAGGACCCACTGTCTTGGAGAACAACCCCTGGAAATGGCAGAGGGATGCAGCCATCCTCTCCTTCCTTCCTGCTGACACCATTCAAGGACTAGGGAATACTGACAGGTGAGCCCTCCCCCACCTGCTCACCACTCCACAGGGTTCTCCCCCTGGCTCCCGCTCTGCTTCCACAACAGAGTGCCTGGCTGGCCCACGGGGCACTATGTGGAGGAGAGAATGACGAGTCCCTGGCCTGACTACAACCAATAAAACACGCTCTGCAGCTATCTGTGGGCTGGCAAGAGTCGAACAGCAGCACATAATCTGTACCACCCAAACACTTTCAGGAGAGGTGGCGGTGGCTAGGTCCCTCATTCCTGGTGGTGTTTAATAACCAGGAGTCAACTTTGGTATCTGGAGAAATAAGTGAGTACATGATCTTTCCCTTTCCAATTCCTGCCCCATTTCCCAGGCCACTGGCAATGTGTCCCTCCATGCCCCTGGTGGCAAAGGGGCCCCTTTGGGTGTTTTTTGTTTTAAACTGAAGATTAAAGGGGAGCACTTGGTACAGGACAAGCAGAAAGCCGAGTAGCAATGCTGGGGAAAAGAAAAAGCTTTTGGAAGATGATAAGACTATTAAAAATAAATAAATTAAAAAGCAGGAGGAGGAACACCATTCAGATATTTCTACGGGGATTACGGGATTACCAGTGCAGGGTTGACCCATGCCTGAATATGTCCTGCCCACTGCGGGAGCATAGGGAGCTGCTGCTGGAAGGGAAGCCAGGAGACACCTGCAGCCACGGTGCTGCCCCGGAGGAAGAGAAAGGCTCTCCCACCAGCCCAGGGTGAACTTGCGTTGGCATTTCAAGATGCAGAAACCTGGTACCAAGAGAAACCAGAGGACCAGCGTCCTAGGGTAAAGCCACAGGACATAGAGGCAGGAAATGACAGCCCATTTGCTAAGAGTGTACTGTCTGGGTCCTCTGATCATTCCTGTTTTAGGGGATTCTGAGAGGCAGCACCACACCATTCCAACATTTCTGCCTGGGCGCCTCTCACCCAAACTCCAGCAAAACAGTGTGGTGCCTCTGACTGTGTGACTGGGCAAGGCCTTGAAAACCCCTGCTATTCTGATTTAAATTCACTTGGCTTCAGGAACAGATTAAGGCAAGCAGGTGACTCTAGAGGGCAAGAGGGGAAACCTGCTGGTTGATCCCAAATACTCCACCAGAGCTATTCAGAAGTATCCACAGATCCCAAAGACTAGAAGCACCATTTCCAAAATTTCTTTCCTGAATGTAACATAAGTTGCCCACTTGATGTCTGCAGGTCAAATAAAGGGGACACCAGACATGAAGTCCCTTACAGAGTGGGAGCTTCTTGCTCATGGGTCACACTGGGGGAAGAATGGAACCCATGGATTAGAACCTGGCCTATTTATAATTCAAGTTCTAAGACAAAAACACAATCAACACCTTTCCCAGTCTGCACAAACAGAAGACATGAATGTGCCCACCCCCCCAACACACAGTACAAAAATGCCTGAACTTGAGAGCCTTCTGGAGAAAGATGAGGAATCCTACAGCAGGACTGAGCAGGGGCGGCGGTGCTGGGCACGCGGCTGGGTCACTGCCCCTGAAGGTCTCTGGACCAGTGGTGACATCCAGGAAGGCAGCACACGCTCACAGTACTTTTTACACACGACAGGTTCACACACAGGTGGGTCAACATCCACCTGCCACTCTTAGTGTCTCTGCTTGTACAAAGGCAGCAGTTCCTTACCAATAGCAGTGAGGTGACAGACACAGTAAGACGCTGAGTGAACCGCACCCCTCCGGCCTGTGGCGACAGTGTGGTTCTGATCAGGACAACCCAGGACTTCTTCCCAACAGCACGGCAGCTCCAGCGTGTCACGGAGCTGGCAGAGCTTTCTGACTTGACAATCTAGTCTTGGGAAGCAGTAAAACCAGCATTCGGCTGAAGACAGGAGCTCAGACCAGAGAAGGAAGATCCAAATTCAAAGAAGACAGAGGAGAAGGTAGGAGCAGAAGACGTGAGAACTGAGCGGGGTGGCAGCCACCAGTGTACACAGGAGCCACCTCAAGGAGCGTCTCTCTATCTGCTCAGGGATGAGCCCGGCCTCCACAAGTGTCCCTAATCCTGCCAAGGGAAGCACAACTGCCTGTAATCAGCATGTGGAGAGAGCACAGCTGGGCACAAAGCTGGTGAGAAGGTTAGCAGAAGAACCCCCAAGGACCTGTGTTGAAGCAATGGCAGGGCTTTCTTTAAAATAATCTTTCTGTTCTGGTAGTTCTAGCGACTGAGCTACATTCCCAGTCCTTTCTTATTTTGAGGCAGGGTCTTGCAAAGTTGCCTGGGCTGGCCTTAAACTTGTGATCTTCCTGCCTCAGCCTCCTGAGTTGCTGAGATTACAGGTATGCAGGACAGCACACAGCCTCTAAAAACCTTCCCAACAATCACAAAGGCACATACCAAGCATGGATCTAACAGATATAACAATAGAAACAGCTTAGGAAGGTAAGAGAAGAGACCTTAAGTGTGGCTGTGAAAGGGACAGCAGGGCCAAGAATCGCATTCCAGCCTGGTTAACTCACTTGAGTAAGAATTACAGCCGGACCAGGGAACCCAGAGAAGACAACAGAAAGGGAACGTGGGCCCCAAGTTTCATGAAGCTAACCTGCTCAGAGATAAAAGGTAACATGATGTCACCTGTACCGGTTAGGACATAAGTCCCAGAGTCTTACAAACGTCAGCATTTTATCACCTTCCCACAACCTCCCCGTTTAACAACCTGACCAGCACCTTGAAACAGGAACTCAGATTTGAAGACCTCAGACACGCAAACTGAACACCCTCTGCTGTGGGCAAAAGGAATAAGGGCAGGTGTTGGCAAATACATTGTTACTAATTCTGAAGTTTTAGATCCAATCTTGTTTCAAAAGAAAATATAAACTTGGAAATGGGATTAAGATGTTGTAGAAAACTTGAGCAATTTGCTGCTGTCCAACTTGGCCCGAGGACTCAAAGCAGCCCCAGCAAACTGGGAGGAGAGGTAGGAGGCTCTGCCTCAGGGTCCCCATTCACTGCTCCAGCTGCCACCTCACCACCAGGACCCACCAGCAGGGAAAGCGATTTCCATACAGACCACAAGGAGAGAGCAACATGGCGGTCTGGTACTCCCAAAGGAAAAATGTCAGGTGTAAAATGGACTCATCTTTATTAAATAGTGTAAAGGGTCTTCTTGGCACCACTCACACTCTTGCCTTTTTTATGATAAAACAAGCCTCCTCAATTTGCATAGGTAGCAGAGAAAAAGCTACTGCAGCCAACGCTGAGTGAGCGGTCCCGTTCCAAGAGTGTCCTCCTCCTCTGGCATGCGTCAGCCCCCTCCTGGTCTGTAGGATCCCAACAGGCTGCCCTCCCTGGGCCCTGCCCTCGCCGTGAGCACGTCCCTGCACACAACAGCCGTGCTTGTCACCTGGAAGAGCTGCGCTCCTTGCTCACGCAGTCGTCCTGTGAGGTGGTGTCCCCGTTTCCCACCATGCTGCACGTCCTCCTCTTCTTCCTGCGGTGCATTGTCCCCTCACCTTCAGACCCAGACTCACACTGCACACAGGAAAGAAAAGCAAGGGTTCAGCCTGGGTGCACCCCACTTCACCAACAAATCTTGAACCACAAAAGAGCACAGACTCCTGTCCCCTTTCTCCAAGAAGCAAAGCAGCCATCGATGGCGGCTCTGCCAGTCTAGCATCAACCTCTGCGGATGCTTCTGGCTTCCTATGAATCACAGATTCACTAAGGTGCCAAAGTTCCCCTGCTCCACTGGCCTCTCACCAAAGGTTTATGGGTTGAAATCAAGCTGGCATTCTGAAATTGCATTACAGAATTTCACTCCTCCAACAAAGAGCTCAATGTGTAAAAGAACACAAGTACAGTGACATTAAGAGACAAATTTCAGCTGGGTGCAGCAGCACATACTTGTAATCCCAGCAGCTCAGGAGGCTGAGGCAGGAGGACCGAGAGTTCAAAGCCAGCCTCAGCAAAAGCGAGGTACTAAGCAACTCAATGAGACCCTGTCTCTAAATAAAAAATACAAAATAGGGCTGGGGATATAGTTGAGTGCCCCAGAGTTCAATCCCTGGTACCAAAAAAAGACACAAATTTCCTATGTGAAGGGTGTATCCCTCACCCAATATCACTCTTACCTTAAAGCAGTCAATTGGGTCTGCTGAGTTTCTAGGCTTACAATGTACCACCTCAAGGGCTTTGATGTGATGTGAGTTTGAATTCTGACACTGTTTGCCAGCTGTGTGATCTTGGGTTATCTACAGATTCCCCAAACACCCAAATGTTCATGTACACATGGAAAGCTGTGACATGGGCAGAGTCCAGGGCTAGGCAGGCATGGTAGCACTTGTGGTGCTGGAAAGGAGGAGAAAACGCTTCACAGCCTGTTTCTCCTGCACTGGTCTGCAGGGTACCCTGAGCTCAAGGGCCCAGTGCGGGCAAGCTGGGCCTTACCTCTGAGTCTGAGTCAGAGGAGCTGGAGCTGGAGGAGCTGGAAGAGTCGCTGGAGCTGTCGGAAGCAATGCCTGTGGACTCCTGGAGGTCAACAGCATCCGCCAGGACTGCCAGCTCAGGGTGCTCCTGCCTCAAGATCCTGAGAGGCAAGGGACACCCTCAGTGCTGTCACAGGTGGCAACGCCCACACACAGTGACTCCAAGTGGGGTCCTGCATCAGTTCGAAATACCTAGAAACACCCAGGGATTGGCAGAAGGCTGCTGCACAATGGCAAGGGAGCACAGCCCCGGCAGGGTGCAGACCCTCATAGACTACCCACATTTTTCTAAAAGAAAATGACATTCTAGTGCCACGCGATCCATCACTACCCATAGGATGAGCAGCCGGGCCACCACAGTAGGGGTAGCACCCCGCAAGCTTGCCTTGGTTCTTCCCTGGGGAGAAACAGCTCCTCTTCTACTTTTTATTTTTTCCTGAAACTTTCTTAGCTAGTTCTTAGTTTTTAGACCTCTCCTTTCCACAGCACAGCCCTAACGAGTCGGGTTTGGTTAGACTCTACTAGTCAGAGCAGAAACAATTAGGATTGTAAGAAATTAGGTGTCAAACAAGAGAGACCACCCCCCACACTTGAAAGATGAGCTGAACGGGCATCAAGAGCAGCCGCCCGCCACAAAAGACCTGCTGTACATAAGGCCTTGGAGTGACAGGGCCACAGCACTCTGCGGCCTGCAGGGCAGAGGAGGTGGGCCTCAAGTGCTGAGTCGGGGGAACAGAAGCCACCACCCTTGCTGGCCCTCTCAGCAGGGAGGAGCACTGAACAAGCCAGAATCCCTCTCTTACCCCGAGAGCTGGTCCCTCCAGGTCAGGGTTGGGACACAGTGGCACGGGGTGGCTGGGGGTGGCTTGCACTGCCGCTGCCCGTGCTGTATCTGTTCTGTGGATAAACAGAGGAGCTAAGTCTCCAGGGCAGTCACCTCACTCATAAGAACTGAAGGCAGTAAGTTCAAATGGGAATAATACGTCTGGGTAAGAAAAAGAAATAACCAAAATAAAACCTAAACAAAAGGGCTTCTTTTGCTAGTGCTAGCCTTGAAAACCAAACAAAAACAAAAACAAAACAAAGCAAAACAAGAAATGATCCCAATCATGAGCATGTTTTGTCAGAGTGGCTTTGATAGAACATGCAGAGCCTCACCCTGCCACCTGGAGGCTGGCAAGCGTCCTGAGCACCAGCCCTGACCTTGGTCCCTCTCTCTGCTCCCTGTCAGGTGTGCAGCCCCAGCTCTGCCCGGGCCTCTCTAAAGTCAGCACATGGTACTGCAGCAGTGGACTCTTGCCATTTTACCTCTGGGGTAGCAATTAGAACAAAGCAAAATAAGAATCAAAAAGGTTCTCACCTATACCATTTCCTTGATAACTTTGGCCTCCCTCTTACCGTCTTGTGCCACACAACAGGGAAGTTGGTGCTGCTGGCAAAATTCTGGGTGATAGCAATGGTGGTGTCAAGATTGAGAACAACATGCCACCAGCCTCCTGAAATCCAACAAATAAACAGTTCAACAGGGTTTGGTCTTACACACAAATACCCTGTGACACCTACTCCAGAAATCGCGCCTTCCTATCCATAAGGGACAGCTCAGACACGACACAGTGTAGTAAACTGCTCCTGACCCAGGGATAAGTGTAAATAAAATTTTACTGGAACACAGCTACACTTGACCCGTTTTGAACATTTATAGATATTTTCCAAAAAGCAGAGTCGAGTGATTGTGAGAGACTGTGTGGCTCACAGGGTCTAAAATATTCACTCTCTGACCATTTATGGAAAAAGTTTATTGACTCCTGGTAATCCAAAGCTGTAGCCTAAAGGTGGAAAGTTCTTCAACTTCTAGGAAGAGAACACCCACCTCAAATACTTTTACTCTTGTAAGCTTCACTTATCAAAGTGTGGTTGTCTGATGTGAGATTTCCTAACTCAACCCAGCCTATTTACTAGCCCTGGGTTAGATCTCTGGCACCAAAACAAAACAAAAATAACAAACAACTTAGACATGGACACAAACTGCTACCCAACTCAGAGATACTAGGTAACCTCTAGTTACACAGTATATGGGTAAGAGCTCCTTTTGTACTTGAGATTCAGTCACCACACAGGTCAGTTCATGAATCTGGAAGGTGCAAAAGAACTTTCTGGATTCATTGTGTGTGTGTGTGTGTGTGTGTATGTATATGTATATATATGTATATGTATGTGTGTATATATATATATATATATATATATATGTCTCTAAAGTGAGTAGGCAATGTGAAATATAGTGAATTATTTTAGCAGGAAAAAAAAATGAGTAGACAAATTACTGCAATCAAAAAATGTACTTGGGGGCTCGGATTATAGCTCAGTGGTAGAGTGTTTGCCTAGCATGTGCAAGGACCTGGGTTCGATCCTCAGCACCATATATAAATAAAAGTATTGTGTCCAACTACAACTAAAAAATAAGTATTCTAAAAAAATATGTTCTTGGGCCTCATGTGGTGGTACACACGTGTAATCCCAGTGATTCAAGAAGCTGAGGCAGGAGATTGCAAATTCTAGGGCAGCTTGGGCAACTTAGTGAGAGAGACCTTGTCTCAAAATTAAAAAAAAAAAAAAAAATAAACAAACAAAAAAGGCTGGGGATGGAGCTCAGTGGTAGAGCTTCCTTTAGGTTTGAGACCCAGTACTGCAAACGCCTGTCACAACGCCCCCAAAACCAGAGAATGTGTTTTCTTTCAGCTCATCTATACCTGGTACAAAGACAGTCTCTCCTGGTTTTTGTAAGATTTCCAGAGGTTTGAATTCAGGTGGCCAGGTTGAAAGCTGTGTTCGGGGATAAATAACATTAAACCAGGTAATTGCTTCGTCTTGCTGGTTCCCTCCTTCTTCTCGGGTCACCTTGATGAGTTCTCGGGGAGTACTTGTTGGGAACAGACACCAGCGCTTGTGGCCCTGAACCAAGGCATTCCAGGCACTGGTTCCCAGAGGGTCAATGTGAATCCCAGTTCCAGAACGCGGTGGCCCCATCACAAACCACCTATAGGATAGAAACACCCAAGACAGGAAAGGTGACTTAATTATGCATACAGGACACAGAAGAAAGTTCTTACTGTATATTATATTATGCACATGGTTCTTTCTTCATTTCTGAGACTGTAGGCATTCTGATACATAGAAATATTAAGTGAACTGTGTGAGGACTGATATCTCACAGAAAAAAGAAAAAATTACTGATATAGTTTATTGCTAAACTGTAATTATTAAAACTTCCCTAAGACATCAGTGGTTCAGCTTTAATTGCACATTTAAGTCTCCTGGGGAGTTTTAGGATTGACTAGCCAATAGACCCTAGACTAGTTAAGTCACAATCTCCTCCTAGTGGGTCCCTAAATGACTTAATGTTCAGCCAAGGGAGAGCCGCTCACTCACTTTTTCAGAAGAAGGTCAGCACACTGAACTCTGCTACCCAAGGCTGGTGTGGATGAGATTGGAACCACTGAGCTACGGAATACTTTACCTGTAGGGCGGCCTGCGCTTCTCTCCTGCATACTGGAAAAGGTCATCAGTGAAAAACTTGGGCACCTTATAGTCTTCCAAAAGTTTTCTTCTTTTGGGGTGTTCACCATAGCTGCTGTCGAAGATGTAGAGGGGGCTGTCATCCCGGGTGCTCTCCATGTACTCGATGTAGTACTTCATCTTCATCTTGACCGAGTAGCCATCATTATCCTCGCCACACTTGAACTTCTGGTTCCGGTATTTCCTTTTCAGGCGCTCCAGAGTCCACTTCTCCTGCGCAGACCAGCCCTCTTGGGCATTCAGCAGAACCACGGGCTTATAAGGTCTTTCGTATCGCTCAACAAATTCTTCCACCGACAGCTGTAAAGCGTCCGCCCTTTCCACGTTATCCTGAGGGAACCAGAAAAGGCCTGTCCAGTTAGAAAATGAGCCCGGAGGCAGATAAGGGTGTCCCCCAAGACCAACCAGCAATGACAGACATGGGCGACCTCCGACACAGGCTCCGGAGGGGGCCACGTGCTGGGCGCACCTCGCACCCAGAGCCGCCGCCGCCGGAGGCCCGCCCCGCTCCCGCAGGCCCACGCCCGGCCCGCGACCCCGGGCCCGCTCACCGCCACGGCCGCGGGGCTCAGCGAGAAGCTCTCGTAGTAGTTGTGTCGCGTCCAGTCCAGCGAGTCCTTGAGCTCCGGCCGCGCACTGCGCTTGGCCTCGCGGATGCGCTTCTTGCTCTTGTGGTTCATCCTGCGAGGTCACCAGCTGGTTCCGCGACGACCTCGGCGCACCTCGCTTCCTGCCGCTAATGCGCCCCTCCCTGGCCCGGGCGGCGGCACCGAGACGCCCTTCGCTCCGGCCCGGCGCCTTTAAAGTCGCCTTCCAGAAAATTCACTCCTCAGCCACCTCCCGAGCCGCGGGTTGGGCGTGCGGCGGCCGTCCTCCCCGCCCCGCCGCCCGTCGCGGTTCGCCATTGGCCTCGGCGCCTCCCGGGTACGCCCTCACACGCGCCGGGTGGGCGCCATGTTGGGAAGGTCGCGTCGGCCACCGCCCCGCCCCGCTTCCGGCGAGCTGCCACTTCCGGCCGTGCGTGGCCTCCCCACCACCAGCTTCCGGCCGGGACCCCGCCCCTGCTCCTCTCCTGAATGTCGCCAAGCTGGCTTCCGGCTTTCTCTGTGCCTCTGCCTCCTGGCTCCTGCGACTCCCCTCCCCACCCCCACGCGAGCTCGGCCTTCCCCCTCTTGCGGCCGGGAGGGACGGCGGAAGGCCGCGTAGCACCTGGCGCCCGGGAAGCGGTCCCTGACGGCCTGGCGGCCCCGCGCCCTCCGCCGACCCCCGCGTGCCCGCGGCCTGCCGATTCTCCTTTGGGCGCGCGCGGTCTTCCAGGACATGTGGCCCGTGCCCAGCGCTTCCGCTTCTCGGAGGAGCGGGGCCCGGGAGCCCACGGGGCCGAGCTGGAGGTCCGCGTCCCGCAGGTGTGTGCAGCCGAGGCGCCGCGGCTTTGGGTTGGCTCCCGAGCAAGAGCAGCCCGTCTGTCTGCAGTGAGGCCTTCGGGGACCGTGATAGCAAGGGGGCTTCTCCGCACAGAGCGTTTTCTGCCAGCAGAGTGGCTCTCGACTCCTAACTTTAATCTTCATCTTGTCGAAAGACTTCCCTTTTCTTTCTTTTTTCTTTTTCTTAGTGGTGATACTGGGTTTGAACCCAGGGGCGCTCTACCACCGAGCTACATCCCCAGCCCTTTTTATTTTAAGGCAATCTTTAAATTTCTGAGACTGGCCTCAAACTTGAGATCCTCCAGCATTAGCCTCCAGGGTTGCTGGGATTCTAAGCGTGGCCACCAGGCCTGACTAAAAGACTTCAATTTTTTAACACACTCTTAGTGAGGCCATGCCCTCAAACATGCTAGACAAACGCTCTGCCACTGAGCTGACCCCTAGTCGTAGATTTTTTCACTTTTGCTTAAATCTGGGAACAGGTATTCCCGCCCTCATTGTCCAAATAAATGGGTGTATTCTTGCTTCTTTCTTTGAGCTCATGGCTGCCACACACACTGAATAATTTTTGAGCATTTTCACGTTGTAGTTTCATTTGATGTTAATGGCAGCCTGTGAGGTAGGTATTAGAATCCGCACATTAGAGGACGGAACAGCTTGAGAAATTAAGACTAGAGTTGAACGAACCAGTTTCTGGTAATATCCAATCGGATTCACATTTTAAAAACTTCTAAATTTAGAACCCGAACTTGCACAACTATCTTCTGCTCAGATGTCTTTCGCTGAATCTTTATTTTCCTTCTGGGTAAAATTTACAGGCCAGGCCCCTATTCATGTTGTACCACTATATTTAGTGCTTAAGATATTTTAGGCACTAATGTTTTTTATTGGATCGAGTGATGAAGATTTTGTCTGTGGACTGATTTTAGGTCTTTAGCTTTTTTCTACCACCCCACCAGGGGGCACCCTTTGCTCTTTAGACAGAAGAGAAGTTTTGCTGCAACATTGGGTACTTTGTGCCTTTCATCTCAGCCAATTGAGATGGTATTTTGAAGTTGAGAAAACTGAAGCACTGACCAATTGAATTAACCTGTGTCACACACTTGGTAAATTATGAATCTGTAATGTTTTTGAACTGAGGAAGGCTCATTCCCTTTCCACCCCAGATTCAGCTCCATTTTTAACCTTTTCTAGGATGTCTCCCTAGGGCTATACTACTTGCCATCAGCAGATCGTTGTTGTGCTGAAAATCCCAGTATCTTGCTGCATTTAGAATAAATTTTCAACTTCTGAGGCCCATGAATCAGGTCTCTGTCTTATCTCTGACTTGCACTGCACAATGCCTCCAGGTCCCATGCCTGTCCTTCCAGGGCTGTGCAGTCCAGCCAGAAGCCTTGCCTACTTCAGGACCTTTTCCTGAGTCCTCTTGCCTCCTTATCATAGTAGCCATTTTGTGGTCTCACCTGTGTCCATATTGCTCCCACATGACTGTTTTGCCGTTTGTAGTGTTTAGCACTAACTTGTAATATCTGATTTGCTTATTTGGCCATCTCCTTCCAATAAATAGGGTGTACACATTGCACAAGAGCCATATGCCCAGAAGGGCACTGTTGAAATGCTGTGGAAGGAACTAATGTCTCAAGTGTTTATCAAATGGTTAAAGTTTTATAACCCAAGTTGGGCACTGGTGAACTGTCATTTTTGTAATAGATGCCAGTGCCTGACAGTAATTTCTGTATAAATGGAATCCAACTTCCAGCAGATGTTTTTATTGACATTCCAAAATATTTTGTTTTCCCCCTTCAGATGTTTCTATTGAATTGACTATTACACTTCTGAAGTTCTGAAATAGCCAATAGACATCTTTTTTTAGGCTCCTGCTTGAAACCAACAGTTTCAACAAACTGCTGGCCTTGATTCAGGGCCAATCAAAATATTCTTTTCAGGTCCTGCATCTCCAATATGGAATGTACGTTTGGCCCTGTGCTGTAGTTCTGGCCCAGTACCTATGGTTTCACAGAAGATCTCTGCTGGGGAAGGCTGTCTTAGAGGTACAATGTCTCCCAAAATGCTGGGTTCAGATCGAAGTTTACATACTTGATATTACCCCTTGTTAAACATAAAATCAGGTGGTACTTATAATTTCTTGGTATTATTCTTTAAAGAGCTTTGCCAGTTAGAAGACCCAGCTAGAAAATCCCTTTTAGTTGTTAGACCTGTTTTTAGCCTCAGGAAAGCAATATTGGTAATGCCAGCTAGTCACCATCATACTAATGATTATAGATTGTGCTAATAAAGGACTAAACTACGGCAGAAGTATCCCCAACTTACTTCCCTGTACATTCCAATGAAAATGCCTGTTTTCCTCTTTGACCCAGTAGAAATCACAAGGGAATTAACCTTTGCCATAACAAATCCAAAACTTGAGCTTCCTAGATGTGTTAACATATCCATCTTTTGTGTGGTGCTGGGGAATTAGAACCCAGGGTCTTGTGCATGCAAGGCAAGCACTCTACAACTGAGTTATATCCCTAGCCCAAGCATGTCCATCTTTAAAGAATGCAGGGATAAGATCCCAAGTGCTTGCTATTTCCAATTTTATATTCCATGTTTTTTTTTTTTTTAAAGATTGGAGCTGGAGTGAGCCTTCCAGGAATTTTGGCTGCAAAGTGTGGTGCTAAAGTAATACTGTCAGACAGCTTAGAGCTGCCTTACTGTCTAGAAATTTGTCGGCAAAGCTGCCAAATGAATAACCTGCCATGTATGCAGGTTGTAGGACTGACATGGGGTCACATCTCTCAGGATCTTCTGGCCCTACCACCACAAGATATTATTCTTGCATCTGACGTATTCTTTGAGCCAGAAGGTAAGAGTATTTAGTAATAAATTTGGTCAGAAATGCATTGTAGAAGAATCCACTTAAAATGCTTTCTTTTAGACTTTGAAGACATCTTAACTACAGTATACTTCCTGATGCAGAAGAACCCCAAGGTTCAATTGTGGTCTACATACCAAGTTAGAAGGTGAGGAATAATCCCAGTTTAAGGATGAAATTAAATTATCTCAAACAAAACAGAAAAGGCGTAAACTTAAAAAAAAAAAATTATTTTTTCCTAGTGCTGACTGGTCACTTGAAGCTTTGCTCTACAAGTGGGATATGAAATGTGTCCATATTCCTCTGGAGGCTTTTGATGCAGACAAAGAGGATATAGCAGAATCTGCACTTCCAGGAAGACATACTGTTGAAATGCTGGTCATCTCCTTCGCAAAGGACAATCTCTGAATCACACCTACAAGCTGTTCTGGGACCATGTCAATTTGATTAGCAACCTGGCAACTAGATCAGGCTACTTCAGCTTCTTGAGGAAAAAAAGTAGGCTTGAAGATGGTCAAATCTGCTGGCCTTTAAGATTGTGATGTGTCACCTAGACAACTTATGGGCAACATAACTATGAAAATAAAACTATGAAGATTAAAAACTTGAATTGTTCATAGTCATCAATATGGCATTAAGTTAGAAGGGGAATAGGGTACTCATAACCTCAAAGTGCTACCTTAAAAAGCATTGATTTTAGGTGTTCAATGGGCATTTCCAACATCTTTTTGTGTAGGGAAGGCAGGTGCTAAACATTACACCTTCATACTATATAGCCAATGACATAATTGCATAGGCCTTTCAGATAAATGGGTGAAAAAAAACCAAGACATATTCTGAAAAAAGCTAACACCAAGAAAACATTTTAATTAAACTACAGAAACAATGGTTATAGTACAGAATATTCATAAGCAAAACGATACACCATGTTTTTAAGTACTTACAAAGTTACAAACCATTTGCTTCCTTAACATTTTCCATATTTTAAGTTCATACATGAGGATGATCAGATTTACCATGGGTGGGGGGGCAGGGGAATAAAGGTGTATTTATCATCATCTAGATGTGCTCACTGTATGCTCCGTTATTTATATGCAAGGCCCGGGTGACTGGAAGTGCAGTTGTCAGGCATTTTAATAAACTGGACAGCCATTTGTTTCTGCACGACAAGGCATCTTTACACAGGAGCAATCAGGAGAAAACAGGAAACAGCCAAGCACTCTGCACTGCAACACGCCACCTTAACAGCTAACCAGCATTACTCAACTGCTACACAACTGCGCCTAGTGCACAAAAATACATAAGAGAAGAGATTAGAATTGTGTTTGGTAAACAATCCTTAAAAAAAAAAATCAAGTCTTTTCACCTGAAGTCTTTATACAAATTTGGATTCAGATTACCATTTAGGTCTGAAGGTAAATAACATATAAACAAATTTACACCAACTTTTGTAGGTTTTTAATTTTAAGGAATGAAGGCAATGTTGAGTCAATCTCTTGACAGCTTTAGGCTGTGTGTAATGGCTGCACACGTTTCCTTAAAAGTCAGGAGGCCACAAATTAGGTTACCAATCTGTTTAATTTCAAACAAAAAAAGTCAGCACTATATAAACAAAATGAAATTTTACCTCAAATATCCAATCCAATAATGAAATCTGAAGTCGTTCACCTCACTAAATTACAAGAAATTTGAATAACAGCAACAAAATGGCACATAAAATGAAGTTTGCCACCTGAGGCAAAGATTAAAACAAGTAAAAAGTTAGACAAATGTTACAAAATAACCTTTTCAACAGCCAGTTGCTTGTTCCAAGGACTCTTCGATGGACCGATGGACTGAGTATGTAGTCCTTTTTTCCCCAAGTCCTCTGTTATGCTGCTTTCGGATACATCTAGGTTTGAAAAGAAAAAGGTTCAGTTTACCTTCCAATACTTACAAAGATATAGTGCACATGGTTTCAGTTTCAGGCATGTACTTACTAAAAGGCTCTGGTGAAACAAGGAGATTACAGTAAGGTTCCACCAGCCACTATCCGGTTTTTTTTTTTTTGGTCTTTAAGGCCCAATTAAGAGAATTTTGAAGGCTACCAACAGCATTTAGAAGTTTGAATTTTTGGCCAAATAACCAAGGTGGAAAAAGGTAAGGGGGGGAAAAAAGGAAAAATAAAGGGCTGTATCCAAACAAAAACTGGAAATCGGGAAATTATTGTATTCTTTAAGTAACTTATTTTCAAATAAAACATTTCGCAATTGAGATTAACGTCTTTATTGAGCTACTCAGGGCCCTTTCCTTTTAAAAAACAGGACCAAACAATTTGAGAGTTAAAGACACACTATCCTTTCCCCACCCCGTGCAATACCTGCATAAACTTTCTTTTGGGGTTCCAAAAAGTTCATTGCTTCTTAATTGCAATTCGTTTGCCACATCCATTAGAATACGAAGTCCCATCAGTACAACAATAGTTGAACTGATCGTTTGTCTCTAAGAGGATAGTGCATCTTTAACGTTTAAAGACAAACCTGCTCCAATACACGCCCACAGAAACTGGTCCCTGGAGGATCAGCCAAATCAGTTAAAATCTGCAATACTGGCCAATATTCTTTTATCAAACAGGAGACCGCAGCTTTAAAGGGGGAAAATGCAGACGTTGGATAAAAACAGCAAGAAATAGTCATTTTCATCAATAGGTCTCAAACAGCTTACGAACAGCCACTCAGCTAAGCGCCACACTCATGCTCCTGCGACCCCTCGACACGCCCAGCGCAGCCCTCCGCAGCCGGGCGGGCGGCGGCGCCGACATTACCATGTGCTCACGAGGACACGGCGCCCTCCTCCTCCGGAGACTTGGGCGGGCTCTTGGACCGCGAGCGGGACTTGGACTCCCTCTTGGACACTGGCGGCGGGCTTCGGGAGCGGGACCGGGAGCGCGAGCGCGAGCGGGACCGGGACACCGACGACGACTTGGACTTGGACCTGCGCGCCGAGCGGGACTTGGAGGTGGAGCGGCTGCGGGAGCGCGTGCGGGAGCGCGACTTGGAGCGGCTGTAGCGCGAGCGGCTGCGGGAGCGGGACCGGCTGCGACTCCGGGAGCGGGATCGGCGGCGGCGGCGAGGGCTGCGGGCGGAGGGAGGGCGCGGTGAGCGGCGGCCCCAGGCCTCCCGCGCCCCGCCCCGCCGCCATTACGCCGCCGCCGCCGCCATTTCCCTCCCGCCCGCCCTCCGCGCTCACCTGCGGCTCCGCCGGCCGTAGCCGCCGCCCCCGTACCTGCGGGGCGGCGGGCCGCGGCGGCTGTGGTGCGAGTCGGGCGGGCGGCCGTAGCGCGCCATCTGCACCCGCAGCTCGCGCCCGTCCAGCACGGCGCCGTCCATGGCGTCCATGGCGTCCTCGGCGTCGCGCTTGTCGTGGAAGCGCACGAAGGCGAAGCCGCGGGACTCCTTGGTGTAGCGGTCCCGCGGGATGTACACGTCGCCCACGCGCCCGTACTTTTCGAAGACGCGCCTCAGCGTGTCGGGCGAGGTGCGGTAGGTCAGGTTGTCCACCTTGAGGGAGGTCATGCCCTCCACATCGGGAGGCGGGCGGCCGTAGCTCATGGCTCCGAGGCGGCCCGGGGCCCCGCGAACTGGCGCCGAGACGCTAACGGCCTGGGCGGGCCGGCGCGCTGCAAGCAGGCAGCGGTCTTCTCAGGTCCGGGGGCGACGCCGCGCCCTAGCAGCTGCTTTCCGCGTGGAGAGGCCGGGAAGAGGGGCGGGCTGGCGGGCGTGCTACCTCCGCAACTGGGAGCACCTGAGCAGCAACTGGATAGGCGGCCGAACCCAGCGCCCATTTATAGCCCTTCTCACAAAATGGCGCCCGCGCCACCCGGAAATGAATCCTCTGATTGGCTCCCCTCACCCGCTCCGTAATGTCGCCGCCGCGCGCCCCACCCCTGCCCGGCGCGCCTGCGCAGAGCTTAGCGGGCGGGCCAAAAACCGCGCAGTCACCGCAGGCGGGAACGGGGAGTGGAACCTAGGGCAGTTGGAAAGCCCGCGAAATGCTCTTTCAGGCGGCGAGACAGAACCTGGGCCCTCGGGCTGGAGGAAGGAGAGGCGGGCCCTATCTCAGCCCCGCCTGTTTCTCATGCCAATACGAGAGCTCCACGCAGCTCCTGGGCGCGGCCCCAGCCCTGCCTCTGTCAGAGTGGTAGTCCTGCTCCCAGTGCTTTGTGTCCTCGCCGCCTCAGACTCCCTTCCCGCAGCTCGCTACGGCCTGAGGCTGGGTTGCTACCCCTGGGCCTGGGGCTCTCGCGGTACGCGTGCGCGGCCCGCAGCCGGGACTCCCCTTCCCAGAGAGCGCCGCGGCGCGGTCAGCTGACAGGCCTCGTGACCCGCGAGGAGTCAGGCGGCTGGAGGGCGGGGCCGGGGCTGCCGCTCTCCCCGGTGCGCGCCCGCTGCCTGCAGCGGCCCTGCCTGTGGCGCTCCCGGCGTCGCCCCCTCCCCGCTCGGGCCGCGTCTCGGGAATGCACGGCCGTGCCGCCCGGCACAGCGTCAGCCTGCGCCAGGTGCCGGCCCTCGACTGCAAGCTGCCAGTTCGGCCGCTCGGCTCCTGGCGCTGCCGGCTCCGCACCGCCGCGTCTCGTCCCCAGGGTCGTCGCCGCTGCGCCCCGGGAGCGCTGACTGCCCTGGGCCGCTGTCGAGCTCGGGCAGGGCGGAGCCAAAATGTCCCCGGAGTCCAAAAAGCTCTTCAACATCGTCATCCTCGGAGTCGCCTTTATGTTTATGTTCACCGCCTTTCAAACTTGTGGCAACGTGGCGGTGAGTCGGCGCCTGCCTCCTGCTTGCAGTGCCTGTCCCTGCGACCCCGAAAGCAAAACGCCAGTCGTGTCCGGTGGCGCGCACAGGGCCCCTTCTCTCTTCCCACCTGCCGCCCCGTCTTCCGTGGTTAGGTTTGATTTCACGGGCCACACTCTGCTCCTTCACGGGGTGCTTCACGTTCCCTTTGTTTCTCAGTTCGACTTTGTTTGGGGTGTCGACCCTCGTTTTTTGTTCCTTGCCTTTGTGAAGCTCCACCTTAGTACTGGGATGGTCAAGGTGATAGAACCCTAAGCACAGGTACCCCTGGTTACCTCCGGCCCCTTTAGTTAGTGTGCAACTCCAGCTGTCCTACTCCTCCTCCTCTCATAGTGGACTGTGAATTTTGACAGTTTCTCCTTAGTGCATTGTGAATTTTGACAGTTTTTCCTTCTGAGTGCGTGGAATTGGACTTTCCAAGGGGGAGGGAGATTGCAAAACGTTTTCCTTGATTAGTTTTATCTTCTACGCAGCAAACTGTCATCAGGAGCTTAAATAGCACGGATTTTCACGGCAGTGGATATACCAGGTATTGTACTGTATGTAATGGTAGTTGTGTAAGTTCCATCAGAATCACTAGGAATAAAATACTGTGGTTGAATCAGTGATGATTGCTCTTTTCTTCTGGCCATCTAGTTTATTGGGATGAACATAATGCAATTAGAGGGGACTAGTTAGGTTTCCTGTGGAATTAGAGACTAGTGTTTTGAAGACCTGCTTCACACACAGCCTGATTGCTTACTTAGTTACCTTAGAGTTATTTCTGTAATCCCAGTTTCTTTGCTTATCTGATAGAGATAAATCACTTGGTGTACTGTGTGACATTTAATAAAGTACTGTCCATTATGTCCATTATGAAATCACAAACGTTTCATGTGATTTTTGAATCATTCGATCTTCCTGTTTTTGCGATTTCATAGCAACTATAGTTCATTGGGCACCTTGAGATTTTTGCTTAAGGTGTTCAGTTCCAATTTTATAGATGGGGAAAATGTAAAGACCTTCACAGATCACTAGTATCTTATGATTGAAGCTGCAGGGAGATGGGGGTAGTACATATGTGCATGTATACAAAGGTTTCTCTTTATTGCAGTACTGGAAATTGAACCCATGGATACTTTACCATGGAGCCACATTCTCAGCCCTTTTTATTTTTTGAGATAAGGTCTTGCTGAGTTGGTGAAACTGGCCTTGAACTTCGAAGTCCTGCCTCAGCCTCCTGAGTAGTTGGGATTACAAATGTGTGCCATTGCTCCTGGCAAAACATTTTTGATTGACAAAAATTATATATATTTATTGGTAGTCTGCATACATTATAGAATGACTAAAATGGGTTTCTCAAATCTTTCTATAGTTAAGTATTGAATTGTGACATTTCCCTGTCCCCAAACTCTTCTTATTTGGTTATTATCTATGTTAAACCATATATATGATATTTGAGAATAAAGAATGTTAGTATCCATTTTTCTAGATGGCTTAATAGTAATATCACATTTTTTGGTAATTCTGTGTCTTCAAGTGTATTCTAAATAAAAAAATGAAGGAACACATTTGATATTGATTCATAAAAGCCAGAAAACAGTTTGCTTTACAAGTATTGGCTAGTAAATGAAATCAGGACCCTGGAAATGGTTTTAATCACACTTTGTACAAGATATTATAGTAGGCCTGGGTCCATAGACTCTGGAAGAGGTACAAGTGAAACCATTATTTTGAGTTAAATACATTCCAACTCCGTGCTTTGTATTTTAGCAAAGAAATGTTATGCAGCTGCCAAAAGTGGTAGGCTAACTTTGTAGAGTGGACTAGTTGACTTAGACTCCTGGAATCAGGTTGTCAGGATTGGGAACCTGGCTCACCATTCTTACTAGCCACCCTGATGAACTCCTGGCAACTTATTTCACTCCATTGTATTTCAGTTTTCTTTTCTGTGAAATGAGATCAATACCTTTTTTTGTAAGAGCTGTTAAAATTAAAAGCAAAATTCCTATAAAGTACTTGACACAATACCTGTTGTATATAGCAGTTACTGTAACTTAGCAATTCATTGAAAATTGATTCAAAGCATCTGATGGGACTTCAGTGTTATGTACAAGTGAAAACTTTATATGACATTCAGTTTAAGAATGCAATCAAATGTGAATATTTATTACAAATCTACAGACTCTAAATAGAAATTTTAAAGTGAAACCTTTTTGAAACTGGGCATGATGGGAGCTGGGGGAGGCTACAGGTCCTGGCCCCAGGGAGACAGGATGCACAGAAAGGGCGTGTGAACTGTAGGTGAAACCAGTGGCCCTGGTTTAGGGTTAACACTTGAAGATGAGAAAATTTGATCTCTGAACTCTGAAGGGGCTGAAGTGGTTTTAGTTACATCAAGTGATGAAAAACACCCCTTAAAATATCATTGGTGGGAATCCAGAAACATTTTGGACCACCATAGGAATGTTCCCCCAGGAGTTCATCATATGTTTTCACATATAATAGAGCTTATAATACAAAGTTACTTAGCGTGGACCTTGAAGATTGAAAAGAGCACATCTAAAGAGCCTGTCAGTTTTGAGCAGTGGATTGAAAAAGATTTTGTACACACAGAGGGGCAACTTCAAAATGAAGAAATTGTGGCTCATGATGGCCAAACTTGAGATTCATAATTACATCAGTCATTTTATATCTGTACATAGTATTTCTGCAAAGAGAATAGTAGTCTCAAAGTCATTCTTAGTAATTATAATAAAATGTCTTGCATAGTCTTTAATAATATATTTAAACATGAAGTTGACATTGATGTATTTTAGCAAAAGGATTTATATCCAAAAAAAAACTAGGCATGATGATAACATGCTGTAATCCCAGTGGCTTAGGAGGCTAAGGCAGGAGTATCACAAGTTCAAGGTCTATTCTTGGCAATTTAGGAAGGCCCTATCTCAAAATTTAAAGAAAAGTGTGTGGTGGGGGGGACTGAAGATGTAGCTCAGAGGTAGAGTGTTCCTGGGTTCAATCCCAGTACTCCTGCGGAGGCTGGAAATGTAGCTCAGTGGTAGAGTGCTTACCTAGCATGTGTGGGGCCCTGAGTTCAAGGTCTGATACTATTTTTTTTTTTAATTTTTTTTTTGAGACAGTGTTTAGGGATTTTGTTCTTTAATTCTCTTTTGTGTGTTATGTACAGCATGGCAATTATTTATGGAGTGTTCTCTGCTTCAAATTTGATTACACCATCAGTGGTTGCCATTGTAGGACCTCAGCTCTCTATGTTTGCCAGTGGTTTATTTTACAGGTGAGTAGTGCAGTCTTTTTTTTTTTCACTTGTTTGCTTAGAATGCCTCCAGTACCTTTCCAACATATAGTAAACTTTTAAGATCTCTTGCAGACTTGGACTGAATAGGGTATAATTGGTATTTTAGGGATTTGGCTCTCCGCTTCTTGTTCAGGGATACCATGTCCTAATTGATGGGAGATGTATTATCAGCTTTCATTTTACTATTAATATATAGTATCCAAAAATCTCTGTAAGGGTTGAAAAGAACTTTCTGTGAAATAATCTAACTTTCTATCAGATTGACTAATAAGGATCCAGATGAAGTAATGAAGAGCTTCTGGGCTCTCAGGGCTGTAGTTCATCATGTGCTAAACTATTGGCACAAGCCTTTGTAAACCTGTAAAATGCCTGATTTTAAAATTTTGAGTAGGTCACATTTAAAGACCATCCTGTACAGGTTGAATGTAAAAGAAGAGCATAACTGATTCCTAGAAGCATGCTGGGCACTGTTTCAGGTGTGGTTTGACTGTAATGCATTGACCTGTTACATTTTAGCATGTACATTGCCGTTTTTATCCAGCCTTTCACATGGTCCTTCTACACTGCATCTGTTTTCATTGGAATTGCAGCTGCTGGTGAGCATTTTGATTTTTACCTTGTTTTCTTTTCTGGGGCCTATCTATGGGTATCATGCCTTTAATATACAAAGAC